GATTCATTAACGGTAAATATTTGAAAAAATATGTTCCTTCTTTATGGGAATGTGAACAGATAAAATCATAATCAAATATGTTGAACGATTAAAGGATAACAAGGTCAGAGTAAAATACGTTCAAGTGAAGTCCTTTATTATCAAACGTTCATTACAAGAATACAAAAATACAAATAATGGATGCTCTACGAAATACAATTAAAAGTAAGCTAATCTCCCGGTTGATCGCTGAGTAAACCTCACGCCGCCTTCCTAAATGTATCGCTGCAATGGTGGGATCGCCGAGTAAGAGGGTGTACTGGCCTCACCACATTCCTAAATGCATCGCTACAATGGTGGGATCGCCGAGTAAGAGGGTGTACTGGCCTCACCACCTTCCTAAATGCATCGCTGCAATGGCGAGCTAAGAGGCTAAGAAGCACTCTCAGCAAGCAAGCTGAGAAGTACTCTCAGCAAGCAAAGTGGCCCACAAGCAGCCCAAAAATTGCCTTCTATCATCGACTCCTTGTAAAGGACAAAGAGACGATGGGAAGAACTTTGAAGGTAAAAACTTCGCTGCTGGCCAGAAAATATTTCCTATACCTCCCACACCAAAGGTGACATCAAGGTAAATAGTAAAATGGGCGGACTAAACAATCCATTTTGGGTCGGATTGGTTGTCAGAATGCCAAGCAATGGCAGCAAATTAGTTCCGAAGAAGAAGATGAAGATGAAGACGAAAGATGGAAAATGCGAAGCATTTATAGGGGAGTGGAGACGAAGAGACAAAATATGAACAGCCACATTTCTGCCTAATAAACGGAATTAAATAGCCCAAAGTCTTGGGAAAAGTGGTGGAAATATTAAAAGAAAATGGACAAGATTTTTAGCACAAAGCAGTTAAATGCTTAAATAATTGATGACTAAAAAAACAAACGTCAAATAAATGCACAAGAAGTTAATGTTCATTAATGATGAACAAAGTTACAAAAGGAAAAAACAAAGTTACAAAAGAAAAAAAGACATCATATGTCTTAATTACAGTCCACCCCATACTGAACGAATTCGTTCCCTAAGTTTTTCCCAATCCTCGTTCTGCCGAGAGGAAGTGATATTCAATTTAGCCGTGACATCATCATCAACTTCCAACATCTTGTACTGCTCGACCAAGGACTTAGTTCGCTCAATTCCCTGGGAGGCGTTGCGCTTTTTAGCAGCCATTCTCGCCCTGTAGTCGTCCATTTTGACTTGAAGTTCCTTCATCTGAGCAGCCAAATTAACCATCAAAGAGTCTTCAACCATGACTTCGAAAGAGATTTCTTTCAACTCGTCCTCAGCCTTGTTAATCTCCATACGCAAAGACTCTTTCTCAGCTACGGCTCGAAGAAATTGAGTACGTTTGGCCTTTAGTTCAGCATTCTTGGCCAGCAAAGAAAGGACCTCGGAGTGGATAACCTTCAACGTCGCTTTAAAATCGACAGAAAGATTGAGCGACGGAAGCGTCAGTGCTTGCTCCAACTTCGCACTCAAGTGCTCAAGTTTATCCTTGTGTCTGGCAGCACTAGCCCTTCCAATATCCATATCCATGAAGGATACGTACTCAAGTATCGACTTCTTGAGGAATTTCAAATCTTCCTCTGAAGAAGCAGCGGGACGATCAGATGGAGCAGGGCGAGACGTCTGGACTTGCCCCCAGGAAGCGAACAAGTCTTGGATAGAACGCACAATTTTGTCAGCATCCTGCAAAGAAAATTGCCAATATTAAAGATTCTCACTACAACGAACAAGATAGAAATAGAAGTGAAGCAAAGACTACCTTATCAACAATCGTAGAAGATGGCATGCCCTCAGCCAAGCTTGCCACCAACGACTCCTCCATTCGTGAGGACTTCCCCTTATCTGAGCGAGAAGATGTTGCCACAATGGGCGAACTCATAGGAGTATCTGCAAAACTCAAGAGCAACAAATCAGAAACCAACAGCACAAGCAAAGGTAAGACACCAAAAGACTGAATTACCTTCTGCTTCAACGTTTGGGGGGTTGACGCCCTGGTAAGAAGGTGGCTCATCCATGGGTTGTGATGAGGACTCCGGGACTGAAGATGTCTCTTTAAGCTTAGCCCCCTCATCAACCGGTTTGGATGAAGCAGCCTCAACAAAGGATGATGGAGCAGGAGCTGTCGATGCCAAAGCCTTTGAAGGAGAGGCTGAGCTTTTCTGAGAAGTCCAAAAGATCATCAGCACACAGAAAAGTTTCAAGTGTGGAAAAGTATACTTGTGAGTAAACCAATTTAATTACCTTCCTCCTGACGATAAGAGGGGCATCATCATCAACATCATCCTCCAGAATGGGAGATGCTGAGGCTAGCCGTTTGCGGCTTGGGGCACTTTTGGCTGTAGTAGGCTTGGTAGGGAGAGAAGAAGATGGACGAGCAGACTATTTAGTGCGACGAGAAGGAGAAGGACTCCGAACGGACAAAGGAGTGACCAAAACAGGAGGAGGAGAAGAAATGCTCGGTTGGTCTAATGAATGAAAGGCACGATTGGCGTTAGTCGCAAATAATCTGCGCTTCACCGATGGCCAGAGTTGTTCAAAAAGAGGGTGAATGGCGTGGCTAGAATTGAAAGGGGCTAATGAAAAATGGCTGGTTAAAAGAAGATTACGAGAATCTATAGCCTCTACCTCCGCCTTATTAATGGTATAAAAACGGTCAACTAAGTTCCTTGAATAGCAAGGAGGAACAGGCCACCAAGCTGACGAGCAAAAAATTGGGGAGCATAAATTTCTACCCCCGCCTTGGCATTGGTCCCAATTAGAATATCATGAAATAACTTCCTCCCAGTTAAAAATTGGATCCAAATGAGCAGGGAGGTGCTCGTGCTATCTATAGTGGAAGGGGGATGTACATAGTTTGGAGTCAAAAAAGGAGGAAAAGGAAAAAAGGAAGGGATTGAATCCAAAGAATAAAAGAATGAAAAAATGTCCCTTCTGAACATATTTACAGGAGCTAAAGGCTCCATGGCTAGCCCATAACAGCTAGCAGAAGAGCGAGAGATTGATGGAGCACCAAGCAATGGAAAATAGGATCTCAACCACAGTTGAGTGAACTAAAGAGGTCCACTGCCAGTGGGAGATGCACCATTCTTCAATTGAGCCTGAAGAGAGGCCATGCCTCTATAAAGGGCAGCAAAAAACAAAGAACATAAATTCAAAGGCCTGCCACGCGCCAATTCGTGCGCTATAGGTAAATAACTCAGGGAGGGCTTTATGTTTGGCACACACAAAACATATTTACAAAGCCAAACTAAAAGGAAAGCCACTCGCTCAGTATGGGAAGGCTCAGCGCTCGAATGATTGTGAAGGGTTTGCAGGCTTGAATAAGAATCGGTGTAGTTTTTACCAAACTTTGGGGCGCCACCAGAAATCAAGATACCAGGAAAAATGGTATCGCCCAAAGGTGGTAGATTCACCAGGGCCCCAACATCCCTTAAGGTAATAGACATGGGGTCAAGAGGAAAAATAAAGGTGTTATACTCAGGAGACCAAAAACTCAAAGCAATCGAAAAAAGTGCTGAATCAAAAGTAGGGGGCGAATAGAGATTTCTAACAAATCAGAAATCCTAGCGCTATCAAAAAGTGCCTTAGTAGGACCATGACCCACAAGGCGAGCATGCCACCTACGAAAAGCTACATCAGATTTAGGCCAAGTGCGAATACCTCTTTCGCGAAGTGGCCCCAGCGGCGGAGAGTTTAGAAAAGGAGGGCCATGAGTGCAAGGAAACAGCTGACCCACCTCCGCCTGTTCAACTGCCTCTGCATTGTTGAAGAAATGACCCAAGTAGAACTCATTACGTTCGACATCGGCGGGCGCGAGAAAACTCGGAGTTATGTATGGGCGACTCAGAAGTTTCTGAAAGTCATCAAAACTAAAGGAGTCGCCAGCTTGAGATTGTGAAGCAGCCATTTGAGAATGAACGAAGTTTTTCAGGGTTACGTAGCATGGAAGCAAAAGATGAACAGTAAATCGTGAGAGAGACGCAAAAAATTTGAGGCGTGGTTTAATGGTGCAGTGAAATGGCGTGTTTGGGGTTTATAAAGGTTTGCAAAATGACGCACCTTTTCAAGTTATAGAAGAAAATAATGATTGGAATTCTTGGGAATTTCGAATGTTGCTGGAAACACAAAGTGAATATGGCAAAATTTAATAATTATTATTAATTCTGCCATATTGGGGGGTAATTGTTGACACATAAAAATTCAGCCCAAATCGAACAGCCCAAGAAGTTAGCCCAATTGGAGGATCCCCAAATCAGATAGTCCAAAGAACGAAATCCAATCGAACAAATCAAGATGAAGACCCAAATAAGGAGGTCCAAGAACGCAGTAACGCCATCGCCCAAGTTTGCAAGTCGCCCAGAATCTGAGCGAATGGAGTGTCATACAGTCGCCCAGAGCTGTTACTCTATTCTCGCCCAAACCTTCAAGTCGCCCAAGGTCTTAACAAACATAAAGCGTCGTGGTTATCAAGAAGTGCAGTTATCAAAGCAGTTATTAAAGCAGCCCTATCACGTTCCACAATTCAAGGAATTCAATTGAAAGCGGTTGAACGATGAAGAGTAATGGCAACAATTAAAAAAGGCAGTTTTCATGACAAGTTGGCCATTACGAAGAAAGTGGGCAGTTATAGGACGATCAAGAAGTTTTTAGGGCGGTTGATCACAAAGAGATCGTCCATGAAGTATAAAAGGGAGAAAGGACATAGAAGCAAATGATGGAATCAAAAAACTCTCGAACAGAGAACATGTAATTTTCATTTCCTTAGCTTAGACTTAAACACTTTTCTTTCAGTAACTCGTGTGCTTGCGCCCCTTGGAGGCACGTTGTTTTTAATTTCCAATTGTAAAGTCATCGCCAATAAAAGAACACCCCTTTTTGGGACTTTATCTCAAGAGGTTTGTCCCTTACACAATCGTCTGATCCTTTTTAATTGTTAGCAACTAACCCGCGCGAAACATATATTTTGAATTCTATATTTAGATTTCAAATTCCTTGTTTTTTAAGCAGTGATCGAACAATTTCAATGGATATCCCTATTTTGCTGCCCTCTTTTCTCACCATCCACGCAAGATTTTCTCTTGCAAAATCTATCTTCTAATCATTAACCAAGAATTTTTTGAGAAATTCATGAAATCATATTCTCCATACACTTAATTCTGCCATGTAATAAGAACAATACAATTCCCCTTTTGATCGTTTTTCAATTACCCATCACCAGATAAATGGATCCGACGGAGCTTCAACGGGTTTTCCACATGTTCGATCGCAACGGGGACGGCAAAATCACTCGTAAAGAACTCGGCGATTCACTGGAGAAACTCGGAATCCACATTCCGGAAAAAGAACTGATCCAAATGGTGGAGAAAATCGACGTGAACGGCGATGGATTCGTCGATATGGACGAATTCGGATCATTGTACCAAACGATTATGGATGAAAAGGACGAGGATGAAGAAGAGGATATGAAAGAAGCGTTCAATGTTTTCGATCAAAACGGCGATGGATATATCACGGTTGAGGAATTGAGATCTGTTTTGGCATCCCTGGGATTGAAGCAAGGAAGAACCCTAGAAGATTGCAAAATGATGATAAAGAAAGTGGATGTGGATGGCGACGGAAGGGTGAATTACAGAGAATTCAGACAGATGATGAAAGGTGGGGGATTTGCTGCTTTGAGTTGATACACAAATTATGCATAAATTTCAGAAAATTTCAGCCTATGATCCATTCATCTACATGAATCATTTCATATTTTTCTTGGTTTTTTAGGTTTTGGAAGGTTGAAATATATAAGTACATGGGATTGTATAATGAATTTAATTAGATTTTGTAATTTGGTTATTGTTCAATATTTATATATGTGAGTCGGGATTAATTTATCTGAATTCCTATTATTTTTGACGTCCTTTTCCTACAAATTTATCAACAATCGAGTTATTCAATAGTGTGCTTGGATAGCATAATCGTTCGAGAATAAAAGAATTTATGTTGCCGATACTCTCTATATTTTTTCAGACTTATTATTTAAAAAAATGAAAAAAAGAAGAAGAAGCTTTAGGTTTGAATATAATTCTTTTCACCTTCTTGACGTTCTCTTAGATTTGCATATATCGTCTAGAGTAAACAAATTTTATGAAATACTCGTAAAGTCGTAGAATTGATATGTAAGAAAACTTTTCGAAGTAGCTATTTCTAAATGGTCGAGTAAAAAATAAAAATAAAAATAAAAATGAATCAATCTAATATTTTTCTTTTGTTTAAAAGAGTAAGTTTTATAGATCAAAAACAATATTATCTTCATGAGAATTTGTCACAATTTAAAATGGTTAATTCACAGCTTATATAGGTTAACCTCAACGAGATCGACAAGATTGAAACAGATAATTAATGAGGATATGAAGTACACTGAGATGAAGAAGATGATTCATTTTAACTTTTTATTTATTCATAAGTCATTATAACTTGATATTATAGCGTTGCTATCGTGAATTGAAATTATTATGATCGAATTTTAATCGTTTTATCTGAAAATTAATTGGTGTTCAATAAGAGTAAGATAAATGATATTCGATTATCATTATTTGGCGATCCAACGTATGGATTTAAGAGCGACCTTGTTACACCTCAACAATCCCTCCCTCAACATGACACTCTTATGACGCGAACCAATGACCTAGCTTTGACACTATTTTGTCAATATCGAATTTCAATCATATCATCTGAAAATTATTTGGTGCATGGTGAAGATAGACTAAATTTTTTATGACGTTTGATCAAAATCACAAGTTGTCCAACCCATGAATTTATGACCGATCTTGCTGCGCTCTTACAACAATTCATTCAACTCACAAACCTTGATTCTTCGGTTAGTAATCACGAATAGTTGTTGCTATGATATGCAATGAATTTGTCATAAGTTTTTTGAGTTTATTCTCAACTTCTTCAAGTTAAAACTTCACTACCATCATTTTACTTTTGCAAGTTATGGTATCAATATTTTCTTGGAATACGCCCACCATCAACTTGGAAGCATTCAAAAGAAGAGGTTCTTAAAGCTTTGAACTCGAGAAAAAAAAAATGAAAATAATTTTTATATAAAAAAATAGTGTTAATAATTTTTTTATCAGTAAATGTGAATTATTATAGATCAAAAATCATGTAAAAGTACACCTGACATACCTAACTAATCAAAGGTCTAGTGTGAGTACAAGTACACTAGGCATACCCGAAGAAACAAAGATTAATTGCAAATACAAATACACTGGGCATATCCAAGTGAGCGATATGGAAAGATGAATGAAGACGAAATCTAAATACCCAACGTAGAAAACTCAAATTGAATCAAAACATAAGAATACAAAAAAGAACATAATTTTGTATATGTGTGTTTTGATCATTCGAATAGTACTCTCAACCTGGGGTTTAAATCCTCAAAAATCCTCCTGTTACGTGCCATCCATAATTGGTAAACAATGCTTGCAAGAGCTATCCGCTTTGCTTTGCCAAGTAGTTCTTCAAGCCTTTTTTTTAATCCACTTCAATGCACTAGGTTGAGTAGACATGGAGCGCCTAATGCCCAACCGATCACGGATTTGTCCCCTACAGCAAAACTGATTGGACAGGAGAAAAAAGATGGTGCTCAATCTCGTCGGCAATTACATAGAAAATATACCTTCGGTCAATTTCCAAATGCTTCAAGTTGTCCTTTGTTAGTAACTTCGATTTAGCTCCTAAACAAAGGATAAAAGCATGTTTCAAGGTGATGTAAACATTCCAATTAGTGCTATCCAGTCTGATTCATCCCCTTTGGCCTAGGAAAATCATAAGTTACTGTCACACTTAATGTGCCTGAGACTATGCATGTTGCCAATCTGTCCATTGCAGCGTGAGTTGCTTGATCAGACCGTGCACTGCCCATTGGTCATATTTAATCTTTTCCCCATCTTTTTTCAGTAAAGGCAAAACTAGCTTGGACTAGTCTGTTAGCCATTTATTAGTTGTGATGGCTTTGGCATAGGCAATGTCTTGTCTTATGTCGATGCATTAAAGTACGGATATTCAAGAGTTGTGCATATTTTACAAGGCAATGATTGATATGATGTTGATGCATGCGGTGGGATTTCTTGACAACATGTGCAGTATTGTCGATGGAAGTATAGAATTTCTTGATGATCGTCGACGAAATACTTCTATTACTTACACATCTGGCAAGTTTATGAAGCTCATTTGGTAGGGTAAAAAGAATTATATAATAGGATTTAACATTTGAGCATAACAATGTCCAATAATTTTACAACATTATTATCCAAATGTAAGTTAGAATTTCAAAAAAAAAAAAAAAAAAAGAATTATAACATATAAACAGTGGCGATATATGCATTTTTTGTAGTGGAGCACACTCAAACTTTTCAAAAAATGACGAAAAAATTTAAATATTCGATATCTAATTACAATTGATTTCTACGAATTCTTATACTTTGATAATGTTGCCTAATAATGCTGTCTTTATTTCAATTTTTGATGAAATTCCCAGTTCCCAAACAAAATTTAAACAATTGCTCCATTCAATCCCTAACATTTACATACTAGTTGGCTAGTTCAACAAATCCGTAGACATTCACAAATCATAAATCATATATTCAAATTCGATCAAGGCATATTCAATTCCTAACATTTACATGCGTAGTTCAACAAATTCAGAGAGATTCCCTGATAAAATCAGAAGCATATATATAAAGCTTAAAGGCAAATTTTGGAATGAAAATCTTGATTGCTGTATCTTTATTCATCAACAAATCGACCTATATATAGGCTATACAAACAATAGACTTAGCAAAATAATAGCTTGACATGGGACCACTAACCAATTTGCAGCAACAAAATCCTAAAGACCAGGTAAAAGACACACACGTGAATAACAAACTAAAACAGATTCCAAGTAATTAAAAATATAAATCCAATAAAATAATCAACAATCCCTCATTTAAACTAAATGTTTCAAACGTTCAGTTTAACAATTATGTACACCAAATCTCAAATTCAATTCTCCAGAGTACAAACTCCAAGTAATTTCCTCAGCTTCAGAAAGCTAGCAAATTTGAGGGGTTTAGTAAAGATATCAACTATTTGATCTTCACTTTTGCAGTAAAGAAGATCAATAATTCCATCCTTGGTAAGATCACACAATAAGTGGTATCTCCATCTACGTGCTTGCATCTTCCATGAAAAGTAGGATTCTTTGAGAGCTTGATTGTTAAACTATTATCACAAAAAATATGAGTAGAACCTAGTTGCTTGAACTGAAGTTTCTCAAGCATTTCCTTAACCAAAGTGCTTGACAAGCACAAGAATTGCTGCAACAAATTCTGCCTCGGTTGTTGATAGAGTAACTAATGTTCATTTCATTGATGACCACGAAACAGTTGCAGAACCAAACATAAAGATATCCATATGTGCTTCTTCTATCTTCCAAATCCCCAGCATAATCACTATCTGTGAATCCAAACAATCCTGATTTTCACCACTTTTTTAGAATAGCCCAAGATCAGTAGTACCACGCAAGCACCAAAGGATCCTTTTTGCAGCTAGAAGATGAATCTCTTTTCGACTCTCCATACTGGTTGTATTATATGAGGTTTTGTTTCTATCAAATACATCAAACTTCCAGCTATTTTATTGTAAAGAGTCTTATTAACTTATCTTCCTGCTGAATCCTTTACAAGCTTCAATCCTTGTTCTACTGGAGTAACGATATGAATGCAGTTTTTCATTTGACACTTCTCTAAAATTTCTTCAGCTTATTTTTTCTTTTTTGAGAAATAAGAATTCCAGCAGGAGATTGCACTACTTCTATGCCAAGAAATAATGCATTTGCCCAAGGTCAAACATATCAAACTCTAGCTTTGTTGATTGCTTAAACTTTTCAAACATACCCTTGTCATATAAATTAAATCATCTACATACAATCATATCATTAGCACTTTTCATTCCCCTTCAATTTTTGTGTAAACAATATGCTCTTATGGACATTGTTTTTTCCTTAAGGAATAAGCATCTATATGATTATACCAAGCTCTAGGTTCATGTTTTAGTCCATATAGTGCTTTCTTAAGTTTATAAACCTTATGCTCACTACCTAATTTCACATAACCAGGAGGTTGATCAACAAATACCTCTTCTTGCGAGTCTCCATATAAAAATCCCGATTTCACATCCAATTGGAACATGGGCCATGAATGTTGAGCTGCCAACACAATCATCAATCTAATTGTGTCATGTCTTGCAACTTGAGCGAACAATTCTTTGTAATCCACGCCAAACTCTTGCTTTTAACCTTTAGCTACTAGGTGCGCCTTATATTTATCAATTGTACCATTCTCTTTTAATTTCGTCTTGTAAACCCACTTGACACCAATTATCTTCTGCCCTTTTAGAAGCTCAGTTAGCTCCCAAGTATTATTCCTTTCAATGGCTTAAATCTGTTCATCCATAGCCTTCTTCCACTTCCGTTCTTTGACAACAACCTCAAAAGTTGTGGGATCAAAATTTAAAAATAGAGCAAAGTGTGTAAATGGGTCCTCAAAATCAGCAATTCTTGTTATCTCATAATTTGACATCCATGCTGGCCTTTATCTAACACGTTGAGGACGTGAATCTGCTGTAGCATCAACCTATTCATCATTTCTTGTGGCTACTGATCAAATTTCAGAAGTTATGGAAGGTTCATCTTGAGAATTTTTGGGAGCAGGGATTGCTGGAGCTTGTTGCATAGTTTCCTCCTCATTTTCACTCTCAAAATCTGCTGGAACATGTTGCTCATCAGTGTTGCTAATCCAAAACCATGTTTTTTCTTCATCAAAAACTACGTCATGACTAATGATAATTTTCTTTGTGGTAGGATTATACAATTTATAACCCTTTGAATAATCACTAACACCAAGAAAAATACTTTTTTCACCTTTGCCATCTGACTTTTTTTTTTTTTTTCCCCATCTGAAACATGCACATACGCTATACACCCAAAACTCGAAAATGATCAACAGTTGGTCTACGCCCATTCCATGCTTCTTCAGGAGTTATATTTTAAACAGCTAGTGTAGGGCTCCTATTCAAAATATAAACACTCCAATTAACCGCTTCAGCCCAAAAGCTTTTTAGAACTCTTCTCCTTTGCAAAAGACTTCGCACCATATTCAAAATAGTGCGATTTTTCCTCTCACAAACACCATTTTGTTTAGGTGTATAAGTTGCAGTCAGCTGTGTTCTAATTCCATGTTTATCCCAAAATTCACCAAATTCTTTTGAGTTATATTCTCCACCACGATCTGTGCGTAATATTTTGGTCGGGGTGCCAGATTCTTTTTCAACTAGTGCTTTAAATTTTTGAAAAATAATGAAAGCATATGATTTTTCCTGCAAAAAATGAACCCAGGTCATCAATAAACAACATAAAATATCATTTACCATCATTAGATATTGGATTTATCGGCCAACACATGTCGGAATGCACTAGTTCTAGCATTTCCTTTGCCCTCCACGACTTTCTTTTTGGGAAGACATCTCGATGTTGTGTACTAATAATACATTCTTCACACAACTCTAAAGATGTCTCAAATTTTGGAAGGCCCACCACCATATTTTTCTGTTGCAAGGTCTTCAATCCACCAAAATTGAGATGGCCGAAGCGAAAGTGCATAATCAAGCTATATCTTTTAATTTTGCAATAAGACATGAGTGAGTGGTACGATAAAGATACAAGGGAAACATCCTATTTGCTGTCATTTTCACTTGAGCAATCTCATATTCCATCTTGGATTCTGCATAATCCATCTTTAATAGAAATCCCAAATCCCTTTTCTTGAAGTTGGCCTGCACTCAACAAAATTGTCTTTAAATCAGGAACATAAAGATCAGTAGAAATAATTTGCATAGTATTTCCCTTTGTATGAATTGTTACCTTTCCTTTCCCCATAACAGAAATAGTGGAATTATCTCCAAACTTCACAATATTGTGCAAAGATTCATCCAAGTCGAAAAATGCCGTCTTATCTCCACACATGTGGTTGCCGCAACCAGTGCCTAAATACTACCACATATTTTGTTGATTTTATTCCTTCGTGTGACATACCACCGAAAGAGGCACCTCTTCTTCTTTTTCTACAAAGTTAGTTCTTCCTCCAGGTTGCTTATTCAAATTAGTTCGACATTCTGACTGATAATGGCCATAACTGTGACATATATAGCACTCAACATTGGACTTGTTTGTTGATTGTAGTCTATAAGAAGTTGAATGGTGACCACCACATCCTCCATCTCTTCCTAGAAATTGATTTTCATGGTATTGTTGTTGGTTTCCATGTTCATTGATGCCTCTTCCTCCTCTGCCTCGACCTTTGCCTTTTCCCCTGTATGCTCTAATTGGAGTTTAGTGAGTTTCTATTGAGGCCTTTAATGCTTGCTCTTCCTTTTTCTGCTGGATAAATTTTTGCTCATTAAACAACAATGAACTTTGAATTCATCAATTCAAAAATTATCAAGATCCTTTGACTCTTCAATTGAGCAAACCTCATAATTATATTTTGGCGTCATCGATCAAAGAATCTTTTCCACTACAGTTATGTCCTCAATCTTTTCACCATGGACTCACATCATGTTGCTAATCGACATAGTTCTTGAGAAAGATCTAAGACAGATTTCCCTGATTTCATTCGAAGTGTTTCGAACTCAGTATGTAATGCTTGGAGTTGCTATCTTCTTGCCCTTGTAGACCCTTGAAACATTTTCTTTATTGAATCCCATATGTGTTTGGTGGTGTCCTCGCAAAGAATAGTTTTCAAAATTGAGCGATCAATTGCTTGGAAGAGATAGTTCTTTGCTTTAAGGGCCTTTAACTGCTGTCCTTCAAGTTCAATTCTTTGTTGGTATGATAAAACTATGCCAGTTGCTGGTTCTGCTACTCCAACTTCAACAATCTACCAATACTCTTTAGACCGGAAAGAATTCTCTATTAACATGCTCTAGATTATAATAACCATCAAAACGTGGACTTGCAGGTTACACAAAGTTTTCAGAGGTCATCGTTCTCTACGGCTGCTTCAAAAAGAGAATAAATAAAAAAAATAGCTGCTTCTCCTCATAATTTTATCTCCCAAAGACTCTATTTATGACTCTCTCAACCTCCCTTTTGTAAACCCTTACAACTCACTTTCTCACACATTAACCAGCTCTGATACCACTGATAAAATCAGAAGCATATATATAAAGCTTAAAGGCAAAATCTGGAATAGATATCTTGACTGCTTTATCTTTGTTCATCTACAAATCAGCTTATATATATAGGCTATACAACCAATAGACTTAGCAAAATAATAGCTTGACATGGGACCACTAACCAATCTGCAACAACAAAATCCTAAAGACTAGGTAAAAGACACGTGTGAATAACAAACTAAAACAGATTCCAAGTAATTAGAAATATAAATCCAATAAATTAACCAACATTCCCAAATCACAACTCATATATTTGGATTTCACTTTTCATTATAACTAATTGTCAAGAATAATTTGTTGCAATGAAAACTAGAAATCAGAAATACTCATTAACTAGTCTACATTAAATTTATTCATAATTATACAGGACCCGAAACAAGATTTCAAATGCAAAAGAGGTTAATTTAGTAACTAGAATTGGTCTTGATTCTTGAACAATATATTTGGGATATATGGAGGAAAACTACATCGAAAGGCAACTCTAGTCCATATTTCAAAAATGGCTGATGTTATAAACCCCATCCTCTAAAAGAAGTTGCCATTTTTCCAAATGTGTCTTTCAACCGGAGATCAAGAGATGCAAGTAAAATCAAAAGTTCAAAACAAAAAATAATTCAAAGACTAAAGTCTGTAGGATCTGTACTAACCTTGGGTCCTTGGGAAGCAGACGGCTATGGCGAAGGACGACGCTGGCAACTGTCAATTATGGGAGGTAGATCGCGGACTGCTGAAACAACAGCAGCACTCGCAAAATCAAATGAATCGACAGGGCAGCAACATCACTCGATTGAACCGGCCGCACAACTGGATGTTGGATGGAGTTTGAGTTTGACAGTGACTCCAATCGTCGGCAACACTCAAGGCAAGAAGGGGATTAGGGGAGGAAATAGCCTAAAAATAATGACAATCTCTAAGATTAGGGTAAGAAATGAAAACATTTGAAAAATATTCTTTAAACAATAATCTTTCAAAGAAATTGTAATCAAAGCCACCACAATGTATAAAAATCTTCAAATAAAAACTTATACTGGACCAATCCACACAACAGGAGTATGGTTAGATTTAAACTGTGTAGATAAAAATAAAGCTATTGAAACGTGGATGAAAAGTTCAGATTTAGCAATACAATTTAATAAATGGGAAACATATACAACTTTTAGATTTATAGAACATACATTCAGAGGAATTGTTTCTGAATGGTAGAGAAAGTTATCAGAAATTATTAAAGGAATAATAAAATATGGAGTAAATAGAACTGAGGTATTAGATAATAGAAATACTCTAAATGAACAAAATATACAGAAAATATTAAAAAGATTTGAAAAAATCTTAAAAACAGAATTTTTAGGAGATAGGTATACTTCTAATGAAGAAGAAAGAAAACAAGATGAATATAATCAATGAATGATTGCAATAAAAAATTTAAAGATATGTGATATGTGTGAATTAGAAAGATACACATGTAAGTTTGACGAATTATATTATATATTAAATCAAGGAGATTATCAGGAAAACAAACCTATACTAAGATCTTATTTTACAAAATTATCATTCCCATGGAGAATTAAGTTATTAAAAGAATATGAGAAATTATTACCTCTAGGAGAAGAGGAATGAGTTAAAATAGATAGTTTTGGAAGTAGAATTGAATTTACAAAAAGAATGATAGACATGTGGTGTAGAGAAGCACTATAAAATAAGAAAGCTTATAAAATAAGAAAGAATTCATTATGTTGTTATAAAAATAATGACCAAGTTGAACAATTTGGATGCCATAAGAAGAAATATAAACCATATAAGAAATATAAAAGAAAATTCAAAAATTATAAAAAATTCAATAAAAGGAATTTTAAACCATATAAAAAATATTTCAAGAAAAGAAATTGGAATAAGAAATTTAAATCAAGAAACATTAAAAAATATAAAGGTTTTATTTGTAATGAAGAAGGACACATTGTCCCTCAATATCCTAAAAAGAAAGATAGACAAAATATAAAAGCTCTTATAATTTATGAAAAATTTCAAGAAGATAGTGATATAGAACCAATTGAATATTTTGAAGATCTAAGTAGTGAATGCAGTAGCATTTATGAATTAGATACATCCTCATCAGAAGAAGATTATGGGGAGAGTATATATGAATCAGGAGATACAACAATCAGAAATAGAAATTGAAACAACTGAAAAAGTTGAAGATTCTATAGAAGGTATTAATCAAGAGATTACCTTTGATATTAAAAAATATGCAGGAATTACTAAGAAAATATTAGACCTACAAGAAAAAGATGTATTCCATCAAGGATTCTTAAGAATTTTACCAAGAGTAAATAAAACAATTGTAAGTATGAACTATAAAAAAATGTCTATCAATATAGAAGATAATATAGGAAAAGCAAGAATTCCTATAATAACAAAAGAATGGGTAAAACAAAAGCTATCCAAAATCCCAGAAAATGTAAGAAACAAATTCAAATGTATTGAATTAGGAGGAGTCCAGATAATGGTAAAAGGATTCTTTAGAGAAGGTATGAATATACCAATAGAAATCTACTGTATGGATAATAGAATCTTACAAAATCCTATAGATGCTCTATGAGGAACAGTTGTAGGAAACTTAGTCTATCAAAAGATAATATTTACAGTAAAATCAAGTTATGCAATATTTTTAAATGATGAAAATATTGACCAAAGTTTCAATCTATACTATAGAATTGAAAACTTGAAAATGTTACGAAGAAGTAAGGCTATTAGTATAAGCATAAAATCAATTTTTGCTTTTAGTACTAGCCATTATAATAATCTAAAAAAGATAACTGATAACATTATCATACATAAAGATTTTGAGGAATTAGCACAATATATACCTCCTAGAAAATACCAAGAACATGAAGTTACTATACCAGAACAAATAATACTTGATTTTCATAAACAAGCAAAAGAAATTAATTCTGAAGGAAAATTAATAAGAAGAAATAGTGTCAGCTTAGAAGGAGACAATCTTATTGCAAGATTTCCCTCTAGACAAGACTCTAGGATAAGCAGACTTAAAAATTTAAGCATTGTTGAACCATCAAGTTTACAATATTACATTAAGACAAGATATGTAAACCAAGAAGGGTTTAAGAAGAATCTTCTTGTCCTCATAGATATTGGAGCATATAAAAGTCATGTAAATGCCAAGTTTGTCAATCATTTAATATACTTTGAAATACCAGAACCATATATATTTAAGGATTATTTAGGAAATAATCTTGAAATAAGAAAATATGTTAAATTCCCTCTTATACTTGTAGGAGAGGATCAGAAAGAATATATTAAAAAAATAATTTTATATAAAGATGAGTTATATGGAGTAGATCGTTCACCTATTCTATTAGGAATGAACTTTCTTGAAAAATATAGTCCTTATAAAATATGTCAAAGATATTTAAAAATAACAGTTGATGATAACCCAATCATCATACCAAGAATAGATGAAAATATGAAATCATTGTTATCATGGAAAGAGTAATAAGTACTAATCCTATGAGTCCATATATTGAAATTACACTCAATATAAAAAGTTATTGTAGAATTAAATTTCATGCTTACTTAGATACAGGAAATACAATAAGCTTATGCTTACCAAATGTACTACCATCTGAATACTGGAAATACAATTCAAAGAAGATAGTCACTGCTACAACAGCAGGTGGAAATAAGGTAATATACAACAAGTATGCTACGCAAGTACCTTTTCTAATTTCCTTTTGGAGAAGTATTTGTTGATACAATATATATGTCAACCACAATAGGATGTGATATTTTATTAGGACAAAATTTTCTATTAAAATATGCACCATTTACACAATATATTAATATGTATATTTTCACAACACCTTATGCACATAAATTATTTACACAAAAAATAAATAAAGCTGTTACAATTGCATATAGGGATATAAACCATCAGAGTTTCTCAACCCAGCGTGGTGGATGTTGGAGTACAAAAAAATTTAAACCAGTTTACAGTCTTAAAAATGACAACAGAAAATAGGTTGGAAAAATTGAAAAAAGAAATTTCTGAAACATATTCTGAAAATCCATTAGAAAAATGGAATACAGACAAAGTAAAGGCAAAGATAGAATTAATCAATCCAGACACTATAGTAAGAGTCAAACCTATGAAATATAGTGTTGATGATCAAAAAGAATTTAAAAACCAGATAAAAGAATTGCTAGAAGCCAGATTGATTAGGCCTAGTAAAAGCCCACATAGCAGCCCAACCTTTATGGTTAGAAAACATAGTGAGATAAAAAGAGGAAAAGCCAGAATGATAATAAACTACAAAAAGTTAAATGAAATTACTAAGTTTGATGGATATTATTTACCAAATAAGGACACCCTTATTAAGCAAGTACAAAATAAAAAGATATTTTCAAAATTTGATTGTAAGTCAGGGTTTTGGCAAATCATGCTTACAGAAGAAAGTAAACCACTAACTACATTCAGTACCCCCAATCCTTTAGGACAATACGAATGAAATGTAATGCCATTTTGGTTAAAAAATGCACCACAGAAATTCCAAAGAAGAATGGACGAGGTAATAAAACCAATTACTCATTTCTGTATTGCATATGTTGATGATTTATTTATTCATTCAAATAACATTGATGAACAAATTGAATATCTTGATAAATTCTGTTATATTATGAAAAAACATGGTATTACACTTTTTCAAAAGAAAGTTGAGATAGCTAGAACAGAAATTGAATTTTTAGGATTATTTATTAAAGAAGGAGAATTGCAATTGCAATCCCATATTGGAGAAAAATTTCAAGAATTTCCTGAAAAAATCAAAGATAAAAAATAATTACAAAACTTCCTTGGTATATTAAATTATGCTGGAGGATTCATTGAAAATTGTGCCAAATTAAAAAATTATTTTCTTCCAAAGTTAAGAAAAAATATAACGTGGTCTTGGAAAAACAAGATTCTGAAAATATAAATAAAGTTAAAGAAGAGTTAAAGGTATTGCCCAAACTAGTAATACCACAAGAAAAAGATTTCTTTATTCTTGAAACTGATACTTTAGATTATTACTGGGGAGCAGTCTTAAAAGTAAAAAAGAATCATAAAGAATATAAATGTGAAAAAGATTGTGCTTGTCCTGAGATACTTGCAGGTTATACATCAGGAACCTTTGAAGAAGTTGAAACAAGATATGAGACAAACAGAAAAGAACTCATTACTGTTAAAAGAGAAGTTCAAAAATATGAAGATTATTTATTACCAAAGAAATTCTTGATTAGAACTGATAATACTCAAGTCAAAGCATTTTTGAAAAATAATGTTGATCCATCTATTACTAATAGATATATTATTAGAATACAAATTTGGTTCTCATATTTCAAATTTGATATTGAATATATTAAAGGAAAAACTAACTTTCTTCCTGATTATCTTAGCAGGGATGGAGCTAGAACAACTAAGGAAGAAAGTTCAAATACTTGAGATAAAAGTTTTCTATTTGGAAACCCAAATTCAAAATATCCAAGATAGCATTCGAGGCAAAAATATAGCCCTTGAGGCAGAAGTTACTTGTACCAAGACTAGTATCCCTTCGCAAGAACTTGTGAATACTAACGCTCTCCCAGAGAATAAAGGGAAAGAAAAGATGGTAATAGGAACCCCTTTACAGGGAATACTCAAACCTATTACTGATAATAAAGATATTCAAGATATCAAAAGAGAAGGTAGCTCTTCACAGAGCCAAACTCAATCTAAACTTTCTATTGAAAGAATAGATCCTAAAGATATTGTCAAGATATGTCATGAATAAAAAATTTCCAGAAAAGATAACCATGAAGAAGTAACACTCTTTATTGTTATTTTCAATATTTTATCAGATTGGTATCTGGAGATTGGAAAGTGGATGAAGACTCTCCACTATTCAAAA